GGGTGCGGGAGCAGAGCCGCCAGCCGCTGCTCAGGTAACAGAACTTGCGCGTCCAAAGCCAAGAGATCGCAGCTCCCTGCATAAAGCCTCAGAAGCTGCCGACCCAGCCCACGCCCTGCGCCTGGCGGTTTTACAGAACCAAGACGCACCTGCAGGAGACGGGAAATGGATGTTTTTTAATAAAACCTGCCCGAGCTCTCCCCGCCGCTGCCGGATTCGAGGCTGCGCCTGCACGCTGACGGAGGGCAAACACGAGGGCGACCTGTGCTCAGCCCTCGCCGGCGCCTGCAAGCCCACGAGACGTCGCAAGTGGCAAACGCGGGACCAGCTCTGGGAGAGAATAACCCGATTCTCGTGTTTCTCGCGTTCAAAGTTGAAGCCGGCTGCAGGGAGCAGCCGCTCCGAGCGCTGACATGCAGGGACAGGGAGCGGCCACTTGGCCGTCTTGTCCCCGGGGCTCTCAGCTCCCACTTTCTTCCCCCAGAGGAAACTTCAATGTGTGTTAAACGCCACCTGCAGCTGGGGCCAGCGGGAACTCCGGGGCCTGTCTGTGACTTTGGAGGCGCAGACGGGGTGGGGGGGGGGGGTCCGTGCAAGCCTGCCTGGAGTCTCGCTCCCTGGGTGTCAGCTCATCCAGTAGTGTTTGCTGCGTGTGGATGGGAATGTCAGACAAAACCTCAAGGGCGCATCTCCTGTGGACAGGTGTGTGGCGGTTTCTCTGAACATTAAGGGCAGATGTTCCGTACGCCCCAGAACTCCCCTCCTGCGCATCTACCCGGAGAACACAACACTGGAGGGCAGCCGCACTCACGCCCAGGCCCGCTGCAGCGCTGTTTGCACGGATCACGCTGTGCAGACAACCCACATGATGGAGGAGCTGCGGCGTTTCTATGCGGTGGAGTACTACTCGGCTGTGAAAAAGGTGACCGCCGGCCTTTTGTGGCACCAGGGCGGGAACCAGAGGGAATGGTGCGAGAGAGAGAAGTCAGGAGGGGAACTAACACCAGGTGACTTGGGCGTGAAATCTGAGCAAAACAAAGGAACAGACAAAACTAGGCCAAACACCCCCTGGAGAGCTGGCTGCAGCCGCGGGCCTCCGGGGCCACCCGAGGGCAGGGCCGGGAGCCGAGCCCCGCGACCACAGCAGCCTCCCTGCAGAGGCGTGAGGCTGCCTTAAAGCATGCTGGACCGCGGCGATTTTCTTGATGTAAAAATGCTGACGCCACCCCAGGATCAGGGACCTGCTGCCCCTGGAAGGGCAAAATACTGACCGGAGCAGCCCGGCCAGGCGGTGAAGCAGCCCGGCTCACGACGACGACGGCGCTCCCCGCCTTCCCCCC